GGCGGAGGGACGCTGAGGGCTGCCAGCCCCGCGCTCTGCTCACAAAATGGCGGAGGCGCCTCACGCCCCTTTTGCAGCCGAGGCCGCGCCCAGGGGGCGGGGCGGGGCGTGGAACAGCTCCGCGCCCCCCCTTGAGATATACTTAAAAATATATATGTGTATACACACAGGCGCACGTAATATGCAACGGAAGTAATTAAAACATCATAAAAAAAATCTAAATGGGGCTTTTATGAAATAGCCCCCTGCGGAAGGTGCCCTTGAAATGGCCCTCGGCGGGCGGAAGGGGCGGGGGCTGTTGTGAGGCACGGAAGGGCGGGAAGTGAGGGAGGATCGGAGATGGCAGCTCAGGGAGAGGGGCAGGGACAAGGGCAGGCATGAGGTAGGGACAGCGATGGGGTCACGGAAAGGACGGGGACAATGGTAAGGGACAGGAGCACATAAAGAGACAGGAACAAGAATAAGGGTAAGGACAGGGACAAGACAGCCAGGATCAGGGACAGGGCTGTTGTCCCCTCTGTAGGGTCGTTCCCCGGTGCGCTGCGCCAATTTACACACCGATGCAAGGTATTTCTATTTCTTATTCTACTTTGCTCAAAGTAGGGGTCTGGGTGTTTAACCCACAAAAGTCTACACACCAATCACCAAAACTTTACGCTATTTATACAAAGGTATCAGCATGCATTGGTTACAAATTACATAACTTTTCTCTTAATTCCTACGCAGTCCCCTCTTTGCTAGCTATATCTCTCGCTTTATTTGCTGCTTAGGCTGCAATTGCAGTTCTTCCCTCCATTTGAGTCTGGGGTTCCTTTTTCACAGAATTACAGATTATATTGAGTTGGAAGGGACCCACGAGGATCATAAAGTCCAGCTCCTGGCCCTGCACAGGACCATCCCCAAGAGTCACACCATCTCCCTGAGAGTGTCATCCAAACACTCCTCGGGCTCTGTCAGGCTTGGGGCCATGACCACTGCCCTGGGGAGCCTGTTCAGTGCCCAACCACCCTCAGGGGAAAGAACATGATTCTAGTATCCAACCTAAACCTCCCCTGACACAACTCCAGGCCATTTCCTTGGGTCCTGTCACTGGTCCCCACAGATCAGTGCCTGCCCCTCCTCTTCCCCTCCCAGGGAAATTGTAACTACAATGAGGTCTCCCCTGAGTCTCCTCCAGCTGAACACACCGAGTGCCCTCAGCCACTTCTCACACGGCTTCCCCTCAAGGCCCTTCACCATCTCCATTGCCCTCCTTTGAACACTCTCTAATGGCTCAATATCTTTCTTACGTTGTGGTGCCCTGAACTGCACCAATACTCCAGGTGAGGACACTCCAGGTCAGAGCAGAGCAGGACAATCCCCTCCCTGGCCCGGCCAGCCATGCTGTGCCTGATGCCCCCAGGACAGGGTTGTCCCTCCTGGCTGCCAGGGCACTGCTGACTCATGGCCAACTGGCCACCCACCAGGACACCCAGGTCCCCTTCCTGGCACTGCTTTCTAGCCTCTCCTTCCCAGTCTGTTTGTACATCCAGGGTTGCCTCAGCCCATGTGCAGAATCCGGCACTTTCCCTTGTTGAACTTCCCATGGTTGGTGATTGCCCAGCCCTCTTATTTGTCGAGGTCTCTCTGCAAAGCCTTTCCTGCCTTCGAGGGAGTCAGCAGCTCCTCCAAGTTTTGTGTCATCTGTAAACTTGCTCAGTGTCCCTTCCAGTCCTGTGTCCAAATCATTTATGAATATTTGAAGAGCACAGGGCCCAAGATGGAGCCTTGCAGAACCCCACTAGTGACAGGTCACCAGTTCAATGTCACCCCAGTCACTGCCAGCCTCTGTGCTCAACCCGTGAGCCAGTTGCTCACCCACCACATGATGTGTTTATCCACCTGTGGGCTGGACATTTTGTCCAGAAGGATCCTGTGAGAGACAGTTTTGAAAGTTTTACTGAAATCCGAAAAGATCACACCAGCTGGCTTCCTTTGATAAACCAGGTAGGTCACCTTATCATAGAAGGAAATCAGGTTTGATAAGCAAGATTTTCCTCTCCTCAAGCTGTGCTGGCTTTAAGTACTTCCCAATACTGGCTTTCAATACTGTGCTTTTCAATACTTCCCAGAATAATCTTCTCCATAACTTTCAGTGAGTCATTGGCTGTGATCTCCCACTGCTGGAATTACCTTACCCCCAGGTACTGCTCGGTCCTGCTGACATCACTCCAGACAGCCCATTCCTCTTGGGATTGTCTTCCCTTTCCCCTAAAACCAAAGGTTAGCCAAGCCTACAATGCTCACAATGGAACTGCCTAATCATAACTGTCCAGCTACAGCTACTGACTAACAATTTTTTAAAAAATTGCAAAGTCTGACTTGAACCCCTGTTCAGAAGTTGAGGGGCTCAGTATCAGGGTTAGGGGAGGGGGTAGGGGCAGTCACAGGGTAGAGAAAAGGGCAGGGGCAGGAGCAGGGATGTGAGGGGCTGCAGTGCAGAGGACAGTGGTCTGGGCAGGGGGGTAATTGGGGCCCTTTTCCAGGAGCTCCAGGCTGGAAAGTAGCAGCTGGAGACAGAGAAGCGCTGGCATCACATATGTGCTCTGGGAATGGGTAAAAGGGATGAGATGCACAATGTCATGTTCGTTTCCTTACATTTAGCCAGTCTGTCGATAATGAGTGAAACTTGAAAGCCCTACAGGTGCGATCAGAAGGATGATGACAGTGTGCCAAGCTGAGAAGAACCTAATGTAAGAGGCAGTGGTGCTCATGGTGCCAGGGATCTCTGCCTTGTGGCAAGCTCTGCCACAGCAGGGGCAGCAGCTTAGCAACAAGGCAGATAACCACAGAATGGTTTGGGTTTAAAGGGACCTTAAAGACTATCTAGTTCCATCCTCCTGCAATCAGCAGGGACATATTCCACTTGACAAGGTTGCCCCAAGTGTAGAAGGCCAGAAGATAATGGGTTTTGGCAAAAACACACTGTGAGAGAGAACAGTTTGTGAATGGAGAAGGGGCCATGTGGAGATAGGGCAGCACTTTTCTGGGACAAAAATCCTTGTTCTAGTTCTTGGAGATAAGCACAATACAGCATAGCACAGGGATGAGGCCGAGAAGTTGTCTAGGACTGTAGTGGGGGGATCAAGATCACCAAAGACCCCCAAAGCCCTCTGACCCGTTTCCAGAAGGGTCTAGAAGAACAGATACATTTCCACATAAAGTGAGAAACTTATCTCCAAAGCAGAGAAACTTAACCATAAAAGGTCCACCCCAACCAAGACTAGCATGCATGTACCCCAGGACCCTGGACACCCCATCAGCTGGATCAACACTGGAGCTAGGGCTGGTGATCTCTTTCTTTCTTCCTTTTTTCTTCTTTAATCTATCCCACTCTCTTCACTTTCACCCTGCCCCTTTATCCAAAACCCACTGCCACGTGCTTGTATTAGGAGGGACTAACACACTAATATCCAGGCCAAATGTGTAATCTACTAATGAAACTTAACAAACTTTTGTCACTTTTTTTCAATAGTTCTTTTTGGCCATGAGCATCTACAAATCTTGGGTGCTCCCTTCCTCTTAAAGGTGGGACTCCACACCAAGCCAATGTCCAACCTGGCCTTGAACACTTCCAGGGATGGGGCAGCCACAGCTTCTCTGGGCAACCTGTGCCAGGGTCTCACCACCCTCACAGGGAGTAATTTCTTCCAAATATTCCATCTAACCCTTCCCGCTGGCAGTGGGAAGCCATTCCCTCTTGTTCTGTTGCTCCATACCCTTGCCAGCTCTCTTGGAGCCCCTTTTAGGCACTGGAAGGAGCTCTAAGGTCTCTCTAGAACCTTCTCTTCTCCAGGCTTCCCCAGCCTTCTCTTCCCCAGCTCTCCCAGCCTGTCTCCAAAGGAGAGGGGCTCCAACCCTTGGAGCATCTCCATGGCCTCCTCTGGACTTGCTCCAGCAGCTCCCCGTCCTTCTTATACTGGGCTCCCAGATTTGGAGGCAGCAGTGCAGTGGGATCTTACCTGAGCAGGGCAGAGGTGCAGAATCCTTGCCCTCAACCTGCTGCTGGGGATGCAGTATGTCCTGTATGTGAGACAGGGTTTGGTCTGCCAGTGAGAAAGTGCTGAAACTCAGGGAGGTACAGCATGATCACGTGCCCCTGCTAAATACAGAGAGGCTAGTAAAGCCATGGATGCCAGAAAACCTTTCTGGGAATTGAAAAGGTTAAGAGAAAAATCCTCAGCCATTCTGGTATGTGTTGTAGAAAATGTGATGCTTCAGCAATGTTTCTCATGCTGATTTCTTCAGTAGTCACTTCATGTTCTGTAAACATGCCTGAAAAGAAACACATTGACTCAAATAACTCACTCCACCACTGCCCTGGACAGCCTGTGCCAGGGCTAGACAAACCTTACAGTGAAGAAATTTCCCTAATATTCAATCTAAAACTCCCCTGGTGCAACTTGAGGCTGTTCCCTCTCATCCTGTCCCTTGTTCCCTGGGAGCAGAGCCTGATCTCCCTCTGGCTCCATCCTCCTGTCAGGGAGTTGCAGAGCCAGAAGGTCCCCCCTGAGCCTCCTTTTCTCCAGGATGAGCCCCCCCAGCTCCCTCAGCCGCTCCTGCTGCTCCAGCCCCTTCCCCAGCTCCGTTCCCTTCCCTGCACACGCTCCAGCCCCTCAGTGTCTCTCCTGTCTGAGGGCCCAGAACTGCCCCAGCACTGGAGGTGCCTCAGCAGGGCCAGCACAGGGACGGGCACTGCCCTGGCCCTGCTGCCACCCCACGGCTGGGACAGCCCCGGGGAAATTGCCCTCCTGCCCCCCTGGGCACACCCGGGTGTCACCAGCACCCACAGAGCCCTTCCCGCCGTCATCTGTACTTGTGAACTATCTGCTCTTAACTCGGAACTTTTAACGCTCCGATTCATTTTAAAACTTTATTTTTTCCGCCTAAACCACGAGCCGCCCGTCCAACCCTGCCCGCCTCCCTCGGTTCCCGCCGCGCCGCTCCCGCCCCACACACCGCCCACTCCCGTCGGGCCCCGGGCGCGATGGCGGCGGCGGCGCCTGAGGGAGCCCAGGGAAGGGATGAGGCGGGAGATCCGAACCTCCCCGAGAACGACTTGGAGGCGAAAATCGTCCGGGTAACGGGAGTCGCGAGGTCTTTTTGCTGCCGCGCTTGGCTTTCTCGCTGTGTTACGGTTTCTACGTCGCTAGCGGTGCTCGCTCCTGCGGCGCGATGGTTTGCTCTGGGGGTGTGGTGGATGCCGCCGAGATGCTCCGCAAGCATAAAGGGCGTGTTAGGAAAAGGTGTCTTTTAACGTTACACGGCTGTGTCCCTTCTCCATCAGGTTTCTTAGGCAGCGTTAAGAAAGAATTTATTTTCCCTCAGTGTAGAACTTCCATGTGTTCACTTACTGCTAGTCATAACCTAACTTTTCTAATTTAATTCCATTGGATATTAGGGAAAATTTCTTCACTCAAAGGGTTGCCCAGCCCTAGCACAGGCTTCCCGGCGAAGTAGTGGAATCACCATCCCTGGAGGGATTTAAAAGCCTTGTGGGTGTTACGCTTGGGGACATGAGTTAGTGGTGGCTTTGGCAGTGCTGGGGAAGGGTTTGACTGCGTGATGTTAGAGGGCTTTTTTTCTGCCTAAATGACTCTAAGGTTCTGTAATCACAGTCCTTCATGGGAGCACTGTGTTGATCTCTCATTTCTGACCTTGTTTTCCGTGGTCTTAGTGCTTTGCAGGGCTCGTTCCTGCACACTGTAGCGACTCTTTCTCCCCCACTATCCCACAGAGACTGCTCCTAGTGATCATAGTTTGGGCAGTTTTATTCCCCGTGCTTTAACGCAGTTTTCACCAGCTTCCCAAGCATACATTTAGCATCTCTTGGATCGTTAGTGTGTCCATAGCCAACAGGTCATGTGAATAAAAAGATAAGATTTTATCACGCGGAGATAACCAAGTGCCCAGAGAACAGAGGCAGATTAAAAGGGAATTTGTTTTCTAAACCACGCAGGGTGTTTAAAGAAGAGACAAAGGAATTTTTCTCCCCTTTTCCAACCCATGCCTGGACTGATGTAGTAGGAGTTATTCTTCAGGAATGCATAGTTCACACAGCAGTTCACACTTCTCACATATATCAGCTATTTTCTGTCATTTCACATGATTGCTTGCTTTTTTGTTTCTCTTCTCTGGCAGGTGTCTTCATGGCTAAAGAAAATATGTGGGGATCGGAGTATTCCATTGTACGAGGTGAATGAAAGGACGGTGGATATCTTGCACAGTCTTATGGAACGCTGTGAAGACAGAGAAAGGGATGTTTCTTTGCTGATAGAGGACATGAAGCATCAGGAAGCAGAGCATGAAGCAGCAAGTGAGTTTGAAGCTCCATTTTTCTGTTCCATCCAGGTTAGGATTTTCTTAGGGATCTTGAAGATTGTACTCCATTTGCTAGAATCTGAGAAATATATATATATTAATATATGTAGGTGAAACAAACTCAGCTTTTGTTCTGTTTTTTGTTTTTACTGCAATGAATCCTTTCAGCAAAATTTACGTAGTGACATCAGGTTGATCAAGACCTGATGTAGTTGCTAAAACCTCTTAAACTACTGGGCTGGATAGCACAGCATGGAAATACTGGCTGGATAGACAGGGAAGCAACCCTGCAGCTGGTGCTAAGCCACTGTTAAGGAATCTGGAGGAATCTGAAAGAATAGTGAGGTGATTAAGTTGTACTCAAGCAGTTTAGACTGAGTATTTGATAGCGTCTTGTTTTTTTTGAGAAAGGGAGTGGTTCAGGGAACAATAAGACACTTTTAACTCCATTACTAAAGGGTTGTCCCTTCACTGGCTTTTTTCAGTAAGGAATTTTGATTTCTTTGCGAGAAGATTGTACACGCAAAGACGTTTTTGTGGAAAAAAAAAAAAAAAAGGGTTTGTTTTTGTTACTTGGGCTCCTCTAGTGCCTTGCCATCAGACAAAAATGATGGAGACAGACCTTGACGAGCACGTGGATGCTTAGGAACAAGGCTAGGCTGAGCTGTGCAGGGAGAAGACCCGTGTGTGGTCATTGCCGTAACAAAAGGGTGAACTCCTGTTTGTCTGAGTTCAGACAGACTGGTCAGGGAGGGAGTGGAGCAGTGCTTTCTCCCTCAATACACTGAATTTATTTAACAAACGGGGCTGTGGCAGCAGTTTGGCGTGTTTAAGCCTTCTTTTAAAGTGTCTCTTTCACTGGCACCAGAAAGGTAGGCAAGATCCTGGTGTGGGACTGGTTCTAGCTTTGGAGAGTTCCTTAAAAGAACACAAATATTAAAAAATTACTGGGTTTGGGTTGTATTTGTTTTCCAGCTAAAGAAATACAGGACATTTTGAAAGACTTGGGTCTTTCCCCAACCGATCTGTCCAGAAATGCCTATGGATACCTCTGTAGTCTGTCAAGAAGTGCAATGATACTTGAAACAAAGGACACGTCTCTTACCAGGTAATTCTTCACATTCTGCCTCTGGGCTGATGATCTGTGCTCTTTCCCTCTGTCTTTTTCACAGCAGCAGCTTCAAACTTCACTTTGACCCCAGGAGTCTTGTTTTCCAGCTTATTTTGCACCACTGGGCAACTTTGGACCACACAGGAACTGAGCACAAAGTGCTGACTCTAGGTTATCCCAGCAAAGGAAGGCTCTCAAGCCTGAGAAGAGTCTCAGACAGAGTTAAATCCCTCTTTTATGCTCATGTTTTTGTGGCCAGTGGCTTCAGGGTGCTGCCACTTGGACTGTTGTGCCAGGCAGCACAAGGTAGGACAGTGTTCACATTTCTTAGGCAAGGACTGGGGAACTGTGACTGGTCTTCCAGTCTCAGCTCCTCATTCTTCTCTCTCATCTGGCCTTGGTTCATGTGAGGAGATTCCCTCAGTCACAGAGAAATGGCATCTGTTAGTCTGGTCTCTTTCTGGGCCTCTCTCCCCACCCTGGCTTTGGCCCCTGACACAGCACCACTGCAATAAGGAAAGGCCAAAATCTGCCTTGGAATCCAGTTCTTCTGTGATGTTTAGGATCTTGGTTCTTGGAGCTCTTCCGCTGAGCTGGAGGGCAAAGCAGCTTTGAAGCATTTAGGGAGAGACTCAGATGCTGCTGGGCACATCTCGGGGCAGTGCATTGTCAGGCACTGAATACAGTTTCTCTCGAAGGCGATTTGGCAAGGCAGGGATGGAGCCTGGGGGTGGTTTCAAACCCAGTGGTTTTATTCACCGGGGTGCCAGGTGTTTTTCACTTACTCCTACTCAGATTGCTGTGCCGTTTTCCCTTCCATTTGGAATCTGTGTTAGTTAAGGAAAGCAAATTCCCCCAGTGACTTACTTTAATTTCCTCCTATCATAATATCAGGAGAAAACTAAGTCATTTATGTAAAGTATGGAGAAAAGAATAATAATAAGAAATTCTGACTTTTAAAGGAGCTGACTCCTGAGCATTCCCACTGATTCTCTCTTCACCAGCCTCCTCTGTGCCATCAGTAATCTGACTTCGGAGAAGTTTGAAACAAAGCAAAAAAACAGAGAACTGCAGCGGAAGTTGGACGTCACCAAGAAAAAACTGGCTTCAGCCCTGATGTTGAAACAGCAGTTACTGGAGTGAGTAGTGGGTGAGGAAAAGGGAAAGGTGCAAGCAGTACTGCTGATCTCTGCCATGGGCAACACTGGTTGTGGCAACTGACAAGGATAACTAAATTTTCAGGGTTTTGACACATGTCCAATTCAAAGTGTTTGGAGGTATCTATCAAAAGCCATGCACCATGGGCATATTCAGTGATCAGAAGAGATTTGGGATACCATCAAACCCATTATTTTAAAGCAAAAATGGTCTACAGGCAGATGAGCTTGCATCTTCTACCAGTTACCTTTGTCTGAGGCTGAGGGCAAACCTGATTCTCCTGGCACATTTAGCATGAGCTCTGTAGTACGAGCGAAGGAGCAAGGAAAAACAAAAACATTCCCAGGTAAGAATTTCCCTTAACCACTGTATAGGAATAACTTAATAATTATATATATATAAAAAAAATCAGTATCAAGTCAATTCCCTGGAGGATATAATCTGAAATGCTTTGCCAAGCAGAGCAGGATCAACCCCAGCCATGAGTGGGCATTGGCCTCAGTGATCTCCACAGCTCCCTTCCAGTTTAATTGTTTTGGGATTTTTTTTTTTTTTTTTTTTGGTCTTTTAAAGTGGTAACTGTGCTGCTGCTTGTAGCAGAGATACCAAACCTGTGTGCTTTGTGCAGGTTTGCTGTGGTCCCTCTCTGTGATCTGAAGTTTAGCTTGTGTAACAGGTCTCTACCTGAGTGGGGGAATTATGCACAAGACTATTACCCTTTGCTATTAGGCAGGTGGCTTTCCCCTTAGCCATTATTTTCTCTGGCCTTTGAGATTCTGAAGGTAACAACTGTACATGTTTCCACTGGGAAATCTCACAGGAAAGTGCAAGTTTTTCTCTGTTTTCTCCCTTCTTGTGTTGGTTGTATTATGGGGTTTAGCTCGAGCATAGATAAGTAACAGTACTCATATGCTGGTATCTCTTTGAATGTAAAAGTTTATTTTCTTTTTCTATTATTTTTAAGTGATATTGAGAGAGTAGAGGAATGTCAGGCGAAAGAATATGCCAAAAGCGACAGTCGAGTAAACACCCTGAAGTACATAAGAGATAAAAGCTTGGAATTAAGAATCAGGATCAGGAATGCTGAGGTAGGTGGAGAGGATTTTGTGACAAGGCATTGTGATGGGATGACACAGCCGTGGTTGGTCAGGCCCAAATTTGTAGTTACAGAGATATTCCGGGAGCCTCCTAGACTCGGACTGAGGACTCCTGGGCTGACAGAACAATATGTTCCTACAGTTCAGTTGTTCCTGCTGTCTCTCAGCACATCCTATAATCAGTACAACCCCTTCTCCTCTTTCCCTGAGAACTGTGTTAGCTGTGATTGCCTTGTGGTTATTGTGAGGTACTGTCATATGAGAGAATACAGGCAGCTACCAGTAGAACAGCTGATTCTGTGAGCTTAAGCTGTGTCTCAGAATACTGAATATAGCCATTTTTCGAAACTGATGGATGATTAAGTACAGAAAGCAGATGCTGCACTACCTGCTCCTTCAGCTTTCGTAAATGATGAAGGACATGTGAATGCTTTGTTTAACACTTAGATGCTGTCTGATAACTTGACAAATATGAGATGGAAAGCGGTGCATTACAGTTGGTGACATTTTACTAAGAAGCCTCTTTCCAGCCTGGCCAAGTGCTCCTCTCCCTCTGGTTTTCTGGAAAAACTTGTTATTCTTGGCACAAATTGTAGCAGCAACTGCCTTTGTACAGCAGCTCTAGCTGTGGCTCAAATTGCACATTTCTGTTGCTTTCTTCATTGCCTGTTTAGATAAAAACACAAGAAAATGGTGACATCTTTCTCCTCCTTGTTACGCTTCGTGCTCAGTTACGAATGAACTCTCTCCTGTTTGCAGAGCGAGCTGATTGACCGTGGGTTGGACAAATCCCTGACACACGATGCACTTGTGAAATCCTCTGAGGTAGGTCTTTGGGTTCAGGATGGGTGTTTCTGCAAGGGTGCACACTGGGCTTGTTTGTTGTGCCCTTTCAGGAAATGCAGTTTGCTGTTTGGTTACCTGAACAAAAAACGTGGTCAAAAAAAGCACAAATAAAAACCCCCATGGATGGATACCCATGAACTGGGGTCTGTTGGGTGAGTTTGTCTCTCCTAGGAAATGAGAAGCATCTACTGGAGAATTTCCACGGGATAAATTTCCTGCCACTGAAAGCAAATTGGCAGCCTGTGCTCTGCCTCCTTGATCCATGTTATAAACAGAGTGGATATTCTCTGGACTGTATCCCATTGCGTGGCTACCTGTGTATTCTTGATAGAATGACCCAAATGATTCCTTCTACTGCATGTAAAATAAACCTGCTTTCAGGCCCTTTAAAGCAAGGAGACAAGGTCAAGTGAAACCCAGATTCCCAAGAACTGTGTGCTATTTTTTTTCTTGTGTCCTTAAATGTAACATTTTTCAGCTGTACTGTAAGCCCAGTGAGATATAAGTGAAAGAAAAAGCATGTTTCTTGAATTAGTACCTAAAGATTCTCCAGCTTTGGGCTGAAACGTTTGTACATGTGACATTTGTGTTAGTCTGTCTGCACTCACCACATCTCAATATTTTTTGCTGTCATTGTAGTAAGAACTTAGTCTTCCTCCAGATTTCTTTTGCTGTCTTTTCCTGCACGTTTCTGAGCGGAACAGTGAAAGCAGGTTTCCCGATTTCCCTGCTGTCGTTCTCCTGAGCCAGCACTGGGTGGCAATGCTTACATTGCACAGGGTTTAGGAGAGTACTGACCAGAACTAAATGTTGTTGAAATTTTACAACTAAAAAGCCACAGGCAATTTTCTGGGCTTTGTTGTCTTCTAGAAACCAAGAATAAGGGAAGGTCTGACTCCCTGACATTCCTAGATCTGCTTTGTCAAGAGCTCTATGAAATGGGCAGCACAAATTACTTTGTGGTTTTTTTACCTTGGTTATTTGAAAAGAGTTGAGGAGTGTGGAAGGCTCTCAGTTTGCAGCCCCAAAGAGAAATTATTTCCCCTTGTTAACAAAATAAGTGCAAGTGTAAGGGAGGGTCTTTTCACTGCTGCAAAACTTTAGTTTTTCATGTGTTTTAAGGAGGATGAAAGCTCTTGACAATGTCTGTGAATTCTGAAATGCTCCAGGTGATTGTGGATCTATTTCACTGATTTAACCACTTGTTCAAGACTCTGGAATATAATCTGCCTCACTCTCTTCACAGGAACTGGCTGAACTGCAGAAAAAAGTTATGTCTCTGAAGAAGGAACTGCGTATCTACTTAGATTTACCTCTTGTAATTATTCATTTTACTGTTCTATTGTATTTGCAATCAGATTAGTTTTAATGACCTTCAGAATTTAAAGGGTATTGTGGTGGCTTTGGTGGACAGGTGGATGACCTACAGGTCTGTTAATGATACTAACCAAAGACTTGACTTAAACAAAAGACTATTTATTAATAAAAACCAAGAAATTAAGTATGCTTGCCAGGCAAACTTTATTCTGTCAAAGTGGACATATTTGCCAGGTGAATTAGCTAGAAATTAGACAAAGAAATATGTGAAGAAAATGTAATATATATACCAGTATATTAGCTAAATATGTCATCAGGCAGTCAGTATGGTGGACACAGCAGAGGTTGGAGCTCTGAACAAGATTTTAAGAGTGATGAAGAAATAGCCAAATGTAGGCCTTGTCCCCTAAAATGGCTGCTCCATCCTTTTCTTTGATTTCTCTTGAGAGTGCTGGGTACTCAGCTTTCTGAAAACACGGTTTTCCCATCTCCCTCACACAACCACTGCTGTCTTGCTCCTACAGAAAAAGGCTGAAGGATGGGACTGTTCCCCTGTTTAATCCATCTTCCTCCCAAGCCATCTGCCTCCTTTCCTCAGGTGGAACAGGACATTCAAACTGAATTAGATTCTCCAGTTCCCTCCTCATGTCTGGCTGTCAGTGGGGACAGGGAGAGCCCAACACCTCATTTCTGGTGCAGGCAGCAGGAGCCAGGGAGGTTTATCCTTGCAAGCTTATTGTGCTTTGGAAAATTCATGCACAAATACATTTAAAATCAGGTCCCTTGATTGGTAGGTTTGGAAAATTGCATAAATTTAAGGGTTGTTTTTTAGACTTCAGTCCATGTCAGACTTTTGTAAAATAGATGGTTACCCAAACCAAACCAATACTAGGCTTTTAATGTCAGTACGTTCTGCATGTGAAGGGTGTACCCAAACCTAGTTTTCTTATCACTGAATTCACCTGTGGCTAGAATCACTAGACCTTTGCAAAGGGGCAGGGACTCTTTCCTGCCGAAATACTGATTTTTATGCCGTCTTCTCTCGTTAGAGTATTCCCCTGGCAAAAGTGAAGGTTGAAGAAGCAAAACAAGAACTGGTAAGGGTTGGGGTTTTTTTATCCTTCAGAAGCTACATGTATTATTTGATTACAAATTTACCCACCTCGCACTGTAGCCTTAATGATCTCAAGGGAAAGTTTACTCTGGTAAGGTAGGAGCTGTGCACGTTGTTCAGGGGAACTGGTGGAGGAATGGTGTCTTGAGCTGCAAAGGCAGTTGGGCATAGTGGTATCAGTGGGGATTAGGTAGCTGTATCCCTGTGGAGTTTGCCTGCTTCACCTGTTGGAGTGTTTATTCTCTCAGCTGTGTTGGTCTCACGGCCTTCCCGGCTGCTGCTGAACTCTAGGAGAGCTCTGGGGCCCGTGTTTTATTCAACAAGCTGCCTTGTAGACTGCAGTGGGGACCTTCCCCTGTAAAACACAGTGCCCGTTTCCGCCGTGCTTGTGTCGTCTGCAGGTGTGGTTGTCGGGAAACATTCCATAAAGCTGTTTGGGAAGTTCATACGTGGCTTTACTGGGTGAGCTGGGCCCTGTTTGAACCCCATAAAACCTGTTGTTGTTTCTTTGGGCTGCTGCCCGCTTGCTCACAAAGCACAAGTTATTCAGTGGTGGGCCTTAAAGCTAACTGAGAGCATTTTGTACATTTTCAGGTGAGCCTGCCCATGTTGGTGAGCCACTTGTTCTTGGTTCAGGAATACAAGCTCCCCTTAACCAGCCTGAGGCTGTTCTCAGGTCAGAATACCCACTCCCTGGGAGCTGGATGGTGTCCAGTATCACATTGGGGCACAGAATAAAGGCAACTAAGCTCATTTAGCCCTTCATTTGGAGATTTCTCTGTAGCTGCCTGCAATTTGCAGTAGAGAGTCCTTCCAACTCAACACCAGGGTTAATCAGTCAGTGCTAATAACCTCCCAGGGTTTGATCGTTGTAGATATGTTTGTTTGCCAGCAATGTATGAAAACTGTTCCACGGTCACTGATTCCACTTGTTTTTCTCTCCCTCTAGAAGGCCTTGGAGGACGAACTCTCAAAGGAGCTCGACAAAGTGGCTTTTGAGTTCATGTAGCCCAGCAGACAGCAGTTCACCTGAAGTGGCCTGTGTGGAAGATTATTTTCCTTTCATTGCCTCCTTATTTACACTAGTAAAAAATTTCAGAATTGTTACTGTACTTCTGCAGCTTCCTGCCTTGTTCTTCTTGTCTCTTGGCTGGTACACTTGGGAGCTTCTAGCAAGTACAGCCATTTTTAGGGGCTCATGTAGCCTTGTATTTGTTTTGGCACAGTGCCTTCCCCACGTGTCCCTGCTGCCAGGATTTGGGTGACCATTTACTGCTTAGAATTGAACTGATCAGGGAATCTGGTTTTCTTCATTTTCCATATTCAGTCTCTGGGTTATGCTTTTTCCTGTAGTTTTCTCTTTGATGGTCTTGTCTGAGGACAGACTCTACATCTACTAGATCTCTGGCTTTTGCTCCCTTTTTTTGTTTTTTTCTTGCCATTCCAGGGCTGGGGACATACAATTTTCTTTTCTGAGTTACTCAAGTATGTCTGATGTTTGCCAAGTTTGTGAAGAGGAGCTGTAGGCTCGTACCTGGAGCCTTCTCAGTTTAAGCATTTTCTTTAAGCAGAAGTGAGCAGTTAACATTTCTCCTTAATGTCTTCAGCAGGGATTTGATGTGTTAATCAGAGTGAACAGAGCCATTAAGAAATCATTCAGGCCACTTCCTACTTAGTCTCCTAAATAATGGTGAATTTCTCCACAGAAAGGGTTGTCCTGCTCTGGAGAAGAGCTGAGACCTAGGAGCATCAACCTCTCCATTTTCTGTAGTTTTATTGCCATCTGAGAAAATGGAAGCTCATGGCACTGAATTGTAAGGTTTGCCCGTTTTCAGGGCTTTGAGAGGTACCAGTCTACTGTTGACAACTTGCTGTTTCTCTTTCCATTATAAATAGGAATAAGCAAATGAAATAAAATGAAAGCAGATAAATAGCTGTGGGTACTGCAGGCATAGCTTTAAAACAGATAGAAAAAAAGATCTTCATAGTAACACATTTCTAGGCCTGAAAGTGCATTGGTATTTTTGCAGAACCACTGCGGGGTGTGATGATTTTTCAGATAGATTTCTTTGCCAATTCTACCTCAAATGTCATCTTCCATAAGGGTCTCCTGAGCCCTCCTCTTATTTCCATGCTGTCACCACACCAGCCTTCAAACACTATTAGAAGTGTTTTGTACATTTCAGCTTTTGGAAGCTGTTTGGTACTAAAGCCAAAAATCTGAAAATCTCCTGTGGGTGGGGAAAAAGCAAAATCTAGAAGTGGTGGCCTGAGGACATCAGGCATGGACCTTTCTGCGCTGGGCAACATCCAGACAAATAGTGGTGCTCTCAGTAACAAGTTGTAGCTCCATCTGTTTGCAATTAGAGTTGCAGAAAATTGTGGCCACGACTCAGCACGGTGTGCATGTCTCCAGGTCCTGTTACTTCACTGCAGAAATCGATGTCACTGATCTGAAGGAAGGGAGATTCTGTTGCTTCATGTCCTCCCTCAAGGCAACAGCATCGTGAGCTCTGAGTCTGATCATGCTTAGGGTATAGCTCTCGTTTCTAAAAAGGTGCAAGCTCGAAATTACACTGGTGTCAATAAAATATAAGTGTGACCTTCGTCACCTCCTTTTTTTTGCCATGGTCGGGAGGAATTGAAGGATGCTCAGAGAGCCACTGCCTGTGGGAATCTCCAGCCTCATTTTCCATACGCTGGAGGGAGTTGCTGTTTAGTTTCAGGTTTTTAAATTTAGCTGTTAGGAAAGGGCTAGTTGCCTTAGGTTTGTGGCAGTTTATCTTTGGTTATTTCTGGGCTAGAAAACAAGAGGGTAGAAGCAAGTGGAAAATTCATGGCCTGAACTGGCTGAGGTGAAATTACCTCAGAGGTAACTGGTGTGAAATCTGGTGTGGTAGTGCAGGGATGGCTACAGGTGCAGCTAATGCTTACAAGCAAAAACCACCCTAAAGCCTTGGGAGCGATCTTTGAACATGGAAGGAGCAAGAGCATAATCTGATTTTCCTGCTGTGGAAGGGGAAAGAAGTCTTGGAAGACATCAGAACATGGCTGGGTTGACACCAGAAACAAAAAAGCCAGTGTAAAGCACTGGAGGTCATGGCCTGACAATTAAGGAATCTTAATCACTGGAGGCTTTTAAGAGCAGATTAGAAATGCTTTACTTAAGTGTTTTAAGATGTGAGGGAGTGTTGATCACATTGTGGGATACAAAGATGCATTAAATGAGGGCTTGAGGGTGCTACCAGCCCTGCTTTTTAATGAGAGCCTCAAGACTTCCTGGGCTAACATCAGAGGAAGGCTTTTTATATCACACATGTAACCATGACTCCAGGCCTGGGAGGATTTCCCAGGACCGTGGCACTTCCTTAGCACCAGTTGTGAAGCCTCGGGGGGAGGTATTTATTCTCCCCCTCCCCGTGCCCACAGAGCAGCTGCACCACTCCCCGGCTGCTGCTGTTTCACAGCACGTGTAGAGCCTAAACATAGAGAGCAGCGGGGCCAGACCGGCTGGAGAGCTGCCCAAAGACAGCCATGTGTTGCTTCCGAGCACTGGAAACTCCAGGAGGAAAGAAATCCCCAGCAGCTGCATTCGGGCCGTGTGTCACAGCTGAGTGTAAACCTCAGCGCAGTCTGGGGAGCTGTCACGTCCGACGGTCCAGCTTGGGATGGAAACGGGAAAAGTCAAGTAAATGAGATCCACGGAGCGTGCTGGGAAGGTCTCTCAGCTCTTTGATATGGCATGGGCAGGGTGCCTAGCAGGGCAAGCTGAAATCCTTCCTCGCTGCTGGTGTTTTGGGATGGACCAGCTATTCCAGCGTGGGGGTGGGACGCTGGCAAAGGGACACCTCACAGAGGTCCTGCTGAGGCAGGACCACGCCAGGATGAGTGCTTGGCTGACAAACCATTTGATTCTGGGCTCGCCCCTCTGCCCAGGCAGCTGTTGAGTGTTTCCATGGAGGTCACAGCGGGTGTCTGCCAGCTGGACCCTCGGCTGTTGGACATTAGGGAATAATCGCCCAAGTGAGAGTGACAGGAACGCCTGGAGAGGCCCCCACTGCTCCAGCCTCCCTTCAGATTACAGCAGCTGCTCCTCTCAGAGCTCCCAGATGGAGTTCTGAAGGCATCTGTCTGTTAACACCTGCAAGCTGACAGCCGGTGTGGGGCCTGAGCCGGCTGCAGAGCACTCAGTTTCCCCAACAAAGTGCGAAAGATATTTGTGTTTTATTACCGTGCAACTCAATTCCTCCTCCTGGAAAATGTGAGGACTCAAGTTCCACCTGAAAAAAAAAAAACAAAACCCAAAAAAAAAACCACAACAAAACAAACAATGAAAGGGGGGAATTAAAATGATGCACCAGATATGAGGTGGTCAACCTCAAGGAAAAACTCATACGCATTTTACCACGAAGTGACATACTGTTCTCGTCAGGCCAATATGCAAAATAATGACTGCTTTCAGAAAAAAAAATATTATGTTAAAATTCATCTGCAAACTAGCAAAGCAATAGGGATTTATTTAAAAGAAAACATTTAGGTACCAAAACTAGAATAACAAAAACAAAAGTGCTAGAGAAATGCAAAATACACCATGCAAAGTTGAGGCTTCTGAGCTGAAATACGTATCTATTTACCACAAATGCACTGAATCAAAAGATGTGGATGGAATCTCTTTTGGCTGTATCTTGCTTAGTACTATAAAAACACCCTCTTTGTTGGAAACATTTCATTGTGGCTGCTTTTCAGGCTTCCTTTGACTGAAGGTATTCACTTCCCCCCCCCCCATTCATATCAATCGTTTAGCAAATATATTGTATTAATATGGGACTTTATTATAATTTTAAAAACCATTAAATGTTTCAAAATGTATTTTAAAAGTGAGTTGGTTGCATTTTTTACTGCCTCCATTGGAACTCTCCAAATATCTTGATACTCAATGCTGTTTTGGGTACTAACAAGCAAAAAAATTTGATGTGTCAAATGCTAAGCGTACTCAAGATTTCTTTAAATTACATTTAATATTGAATAGGTCTTAGAAGTCTGGAAAGGTTTTGTATTTCTAAGCTGTTCTTTGACTTTTTAAATTACAAGGTCTGCAGTGAAACAATAATAATCCTGGTCGATGTGACCTTACAGGAAATCCTTTACTTTGTATCCAAGAACACAGTCACTGTTGGTAACTTCAAGCAGCTTTAGAAACATTTCTAATTTTCTTACACACTTACCTCACTTGAAAAAACTTCAGTACTAGGCTGGAAGTATTTCTGCTTCTCCAATTCAGAAATATTTCTCCTAAAAAAAACAAACAAACAAAACCAAACAACAACAACCAACCCACAAGAGAGTAAGCAGAGGCTTTACCAAAGAGAATGTGTTTTTAAATAAGTCTCAATGCTCCTTCTCACTTCCCCAGGTACCACCTGCGTGGGAGGACACGGCACTGCCTCCATCTGCCTTGAAGTCCTTCAGCACTGAACTGTGTAAGCTCCAGCAAAAAAAAAAGAAAAATCCAACAACTACAAAATTAATCTAATAAATGCTTCCTCTAGCCCCTTGATAAATAGGCCTCTAATGCTAATTAAGCAGCTGTGCTGATTAATTAGATGATGTTGGCTGATAAAGCACAGCAGCAAGGAAAGGTTTTATTTCTTTTCTTTCCCCAGGAGGGTTGGGCTGTAGCTCGGGGATCAGTGAACCCCTCAGTATGCCAGACACCTGGGTCTCTGTTTTGCAGAAGAGCCTGGGTGACCTCACGAAGGAGCAGGGAGGTGACCTGGCCAGGTTTCAACAGCACATTTGTGATTTCAGATGCTTGGCAGCCCACAGCCCAGCTTGGGAAATGGGTGTTGTTTATATGTTACTCGGAGGGTAAAGTTTCTCTGTATCCCTTCAGAGAACGATGCTTAGCAATGTCCCTATGGATGCTGCCATCAGATGCACGGAGATGAAGCGTCGTTCTCCAGTCTGGAGCTGGAGGGAAACTTATATCCTGGTGCTAGGGGAGAGATGACAGCAGGAATGGAGGAGCTCCACTCCCCTGCCAAGAGCCAGGTGATGGAAGCCAGCCTGGAAGCCCCTGTGAGCCAAAGTGCTCTCACAACCAGCTTTTGGTTTGGCACGGGAGTGTGGCTCGGGGTTGTGCTGCAGTGCTGAGTGAATTTCCTCCCATTGTCCTTGGGGAAGTGCAAATGCCACAGAGGGAGGTCATGGTGAGCATCCCCTGGAAGTTCAGGCTGGGGCTGCACCTTTGGGCCCTCCACAGCTGCTCCCGTCCCCGGGGATCCTTTCTAGGGGTGTTCCACTGAGACTCCCTCTGCTCTTTTCTCTGTGGTAGAGGAGTTCTTATCCCTTCCTCATAGGGTAACTAATGCTGAGATCATTTCAGTCTTAGCAGAGGCAGCCAAAGAATGATAAAACGGAGTCAGACGAGTCTAGAAGAAGCACTGGGCTGTGTTCCCAGAATTCCATGAGCCAGTACCACCTCCTGCCTCCCCTTCCCCTTCTAATCTTTCAGTCCTGTCTCCCCGAAAATTCGGAATGAGTCCCTTGGTATCCCTCTTAATCTGGTGTTTAAAATCTCAGGCAATAAAGCTTTCACCGCTTCCCTTACAGAGGGAGTTTTCCAGCCTGTGGTTCTCCATTCAAAAGCTTCCCACACGGATTCTCGGCTTAGACATGCCCTTCTGTAATTTCACCCCATTAAAACCATCAGTGTATCGCCAGTCTCCTCCCTTCGTGCCACTTGCTTCATTCAAACATTTACAGATCACCAGTGTGTCCCTGCTTAGTTTACTAATTCCACATTACCCATGACAGGTTTTTGTTTTGTTTGTTTTTTTTTTTTTTCCCTTTTGTAAAGCCTCCAGCCTGCTGATTCCTTCAGTCGTGGCTCTTGGAGCTGCTTCCCTCTTGCAAATCCGAGGCAGATGCTCACTGCCCTTGCCTGTGCCCTTCTGCTCCTCTGTACTTCCATCCAAACCCGTGCTGCCTGTTCCTGACTGCCGTGTCGTAACGCCTGTGAGCAGCGTGATGTCCTGTGGGTGATGCCTCCGGAGCACAACCTTCCCTGTAAATAGATTCTGGACTTTTTTTTTTCCCTCCCCCAGAAGCAGGCAGCTGGGTTGTGGAGGTTGGTGTTAGCTGGTGGCAGCGCACGGCTAAAGCCGCATGGGAAACGGGAGCAGACTCTGCATCCGAGCTCCCAGCAGCCAAACGTAGGGGAGGTTTTATTTTCCCTTAGGTACGGATCTTACTAGCGTGCCCCCTCATGCTGACACCCCAAATAATGCGTTCACCTTCCTTGCAAGGAAAGTCTTTTACATACGTGGGGAGAAGTGTCTTGCGAAGCAGTAAAATACCGTTATAAAAAAGAACCGTGAATTCCCCAACGCGCAGCTCTAGTTCTACCCGAACCCGTCTCTATTTCTCGTAACACGACGAATCCTTGCGAGGTGGCACGTGGTGTCTGTGTCTCCCAGCATGGTTCGGGTGGTGGTGTGGGTAGATGCATACGTGTTTCTCTGCTGTCTGTGGCCGGTTCTGTGCCACGAGCAGCTGCACGGTGAATGTTCAGCTCCCGAAGCTTCCCAGGTGTTCGCAGCCCTGCTCGGGACTTGGGGACTGTGCCGAAACGATTGCTGCGCTGTTTCCCAACCGCAGGGCGCTTACCTGCAATAATGCACCGTGAGGTTGTGCAGCACACGTGCCCCGGGGCTGCGAACCCAAATGCTCCGATTAGGAAACACCAGGACGATGTTTAACGAGGGCATTACAAAAGCGGCCCTGACTGCACACCCACGGCTCCCCCACCCAGCCCCCGGGGCTCGGATCCGAGTCCGGTCTCAGCCTGGGGCTGGGAGATCTCCAGAGGTCCCTTCCAACCCTGACGATCCTGTGATTCTGTGATATCAGGGAGCGCAGACGCAGGATCGCCAGGGTCAGTGCTGGAGGCGATCAGTGGGAGATCAGAGTCAGAGAGTGCCTCTCCTGGGAGCGTGTGAGGGGTGCTGGGGCGTGCGGGTGACAGGGATAGTGACAGTGACAGGGATAATGACCGGGATAGGGATAGAGACAGTGACAGTGATAGAGTCAGTGACAGTGATAGTGACAGGAACAGGGACAGTGACACAGGGACAGGGAGAGGGTCACGGACAGTGACTGCTACAGTGACAGTGGCACGGCGACAAGGACAGTGACAGTGTGAGTGACACGGCGACGCAGCGACAGGGACGGTGACACAGTGACAGTGATACAGGGACGGGGACGCTGACACAGGGAGGGGGACATGGGGACAGGGACAGTGACTGTTGCAGTAACAGTGACAGTGACCCAGGGACAGTGGCAATGACACAGTGATGGTGACACAGGCGCGGAGACACAGAGGCAGAGACACAGTGACAATGACACAGACGCTCCCGTCCCCATTCCTGTCCCCGCTCCCATTCCCGTCCCCATTCCCGCTCCCGTCCCCGCTCCCGCCGCGCGGGGTCGCTGTGTCCCGGCCCGGCCCCGCGCGGCGCTCCGGGCCCGGCGGGCGGAAGTGACGGCGCGGCGGCCCCGGTGACATTCCCGGCGCTTCCCGGCGCTTCCCGCAGCTCCTGCCGCTCCGCCCGCCCATGCCCCGGCCGCTGCCCCCGCCGGGGAGCCCTGGGGGGGCCCTGCCTCCAGCGGGTGAGTGCGGCCGGGCGGCGGGGGGCGGCCCGAGCCCGCGGGGATGGGGTGGGATGGGATGGGATGGGATAGGATGGGATGGGCGGTACCGGCGGGAGCGGCCCCGCATCCCCGGGACGAGGGTGGGGTGCCTGGGGTGGTGGGTGTTGCGGGGATGCTCCCGCTTCTCCTGCTAGTCCAGCTCCTTGTCCTGGTCCCAGCCCTGGTCCTGGTGCTGCTCCTGGTCCAGCCCCGCCGCTGCTCTGCCCTGACCCGGCGGGTGGAGATTCCCGGTGGAAGGAAAGCTCCCGGACTGCTTTGTCTTTCACCGGGACTTCTGTCAAAAAGTGTCCCTTTTTTAAATATATATTTTTTTAATTTTTTTTTTTTTTTTGGTAACGGCTTTTCAAGTCGTTGGGCTGTTGGAGGAGAGAAGCCCCCTTGGAATAACGGCGGGTGTAACTGCTCCGGGGCTGCGCTCCTCTAAGTTTTGTTTATTTGCTTGGTTTTTTGGTGTTTTTTTTTGGTTTTTTTTGGTTTTTTGGTGGTGTATTCCATTGGTGGGAACCTCGGTTTTTATACGGAAAGAAAGTTCAAGTTGCTCGCCGTGCATCTGTCCCGGGTTCCCCTTGAGCTCCTGACGTCTAATGGGTTGCAGATGTGGCTCTGAGCCACACACCATCCGAGGGGAATATAAAAGTTAACTGTGCTACTTGTTCCTTTTTAAAAAGGGAAAAAAGGCAGCCTGGGCAGACTTATAATATTTTAACTATTTCCTCAGTTCCAGTACTGTAACTTTCTTTGCCTTGGGGTTATTGGGCAGCCACTTAAAATGCTCCTTTTTAAAGACTTGGGGCTTTTTTTTTTTTTTTTTAAAGTTCACCTTGCTTCCACCTTTGTTAAGCAGCATCCAGTTGTCTTTGTTAACAGTGGGACAGGGCAACTTGCCTTAAAGTTTGTAGGTACCTTGGTGAAACCATACCTGCAGTAACTTAAGTTAAACAGGGTCTTGGTTACGACTAGTTGTGCACTTTAAACCAGTCCAGAGTACTGAACACCACTTCAAAGGCTGAAAAAGAACTTGTGTGTCAGGATGCTGTGGCATAAGCCAATCCTGTTTGGTTTATTTATTTTTTTCTTTTTGCACTGTCAGGTAATTCTGGCTTTTAAAAATGAATAAGTAAATCTTTGAATGCATAAGCATCGCTTTTAAAAGGTAAAATTTCTTTTAATTCCCCCCCTCCCGGAGATGCTGTTTGGTTTTACATCTCCTCTGGTACTTGTCAAGCATCAGACAAAGTAATAGCTTCCCTTATGGGCAAGGACTACCCCATTTCCACTTTTCAAGCTAAAAGTTTAAGTGCAAACAGTAATAGCTCTCCCCTTGGAACAGCAAACAAATGCTAAATTTAAAATCTCTCTCTTAAAAGTGTCTTAATGTTGCATAAGCCTATTAAAAACGTGTTTGACCTTGAGATGAAAACTGAGTATGGTGCTCTTCTGAGGTCTCCATGGTGTGGTTCTCCTGCCCTAGTTAACACCTGTAATTGCTGTTCCTGTGGTACCAGAGCTGGAAGTCAGGCAGTCACAACAGCACAGCTTTCCCTGCTGCCCTGGAGGAGGGAAACGTGGCCTTTGAGGAGGGAAAAGGTTCTTAACAAGCTCTGAGGAGAACAGTAAGTTGCTTGTCGTGTGTTTGCTGAACCCAGACATCCTCTCCTGTGTATGTGTACGGTACCAAAGCAGTGAGGTGAAGTGTGGAGAACTCCTCTGTCCAGCAGCAGTGACTTTTGAGCATTCTGAGTGCTCCTCACCTCTGCTGACTTAGAGCAGGCCTGGTGCTGGCAAAAGAAGCTCTAGAGGGTGGTGGTGGCGGGGGGATGGTTGTGTGGCCACTGAAAGCCAATAAAACACAGCTTTCTGTAGTTCTGGTGACACCGGTGTTTTGTCTGGGGAACCGGGGGGAGGGACCCTGTGGGTGATGGAAGGCAGTACGTGAGCCTTGGCAGCTGCTTTTCGCCCTCCCGTGCGGGGATAGCAGTTCTGACTCATTTTTGGAGCACTCGAATTTGTAATTACACTGTGTCGACTGTTTCTGTTTGCTCTTCAGCCTAATTGCTGGTCGGCATCGTGAAGAGGTGGGATGAGAAATTCCTGAGAAATCAGGAAGAGAAGGGGGCTGTGGCCTTAACACACTCAGGTGTGTGATGTGTGCGGCGGGTCAGCAGCCCCTGGTGGGAATCCCAGCGCACAAACCAGTCGGGGAGGGCGTGCATGCTTTAAACCCAGTCCTGCAGAGGGAGGGGAAAAGGGAAGGAACCTGAAGCCAACCACAAGGCAGTTGAGAACGGCCTCAACACACACAGAGGGCAAGCCCAGCTTGGAGAGGAGAGGTAGGAAGGATGTGTGGGTGCCTTGGACAAACGGCCACTGGGGAGGAGTTGATGAGGTAAGGTGAGACTGAACCAACAAAAAGTAGATAGAGATTGTCTTGAGGGGCTTTGAACACTAAACACCAAGGAGATAAGTTGGTGTAAGCTGCTCAGAGCAACAAAAAATAATTGCCTTGGCTGTCCCAACACTCCCCCCACTTTCCCCCTCTCCTTAATGTGTATTTTCCTTTGAAATGCAGGCTTCTTTGCGTGGATTCTGTTCACTTTTCTTCACTTTCTCCTGTATGTTGTCACATCAACTGCCTCCTGCACCAAGGATGTATGTGCCACCCATGACCCACCTGAATATCAACATCTCACTTAAACAGCTGTTAATGAGATGGGAATCTCCACGTACCACACAGAGCTGTGGCTGCAGAGCAAGTAATCCACCTGGCTGGTTACCCTCTGACCAGAATACCACCATTACCTGGTGATACTAAAAGCTTTGCAGACTTCTTTAAATAAGTTGTTTCAAGCAACCTTCATGTTATTGTCTGTGGCATTTCAGAGTTAGTGTGCTGATGGTATGTTTTGACAGAATTGGATTTGTGATCAATCTCAGCTTCTGTTTTTTTGTCTGCAGTTGTCTGACTTAGAAAACTCTGAACACTGGCAGAGGCTGAGCAGCAGAGTTAATTACACATTTACTAGACCACAGTGAAAAGTTTAAACACCCTAGCTAGCAGTGTGTAACTTGCACCTCAGAACAGGCACTCTGGAAAAGAAGGACTAAAACTTGAAATCCGTCTTTGCTCGCTTGAACCTTACTGGTAGCAGCAGGCAGCTGAAAGTGAAACAGCACTGGGAGAGGGGAACAGGCATAGTGCTGGGAAAGAGCTCTGGGTTAAAGCTGTGTGGTACAGTGTGTGTTCATGCTCTGAGGTGACCTGAGGCTTACGTGGAAAGGAAACAGCTTTTGGTTTTCCAGAACCAAAATAAGTGTAAGTGGGAGTTAAGCCTTTAACTTTAGCACAGAACTGTTACCGATCTGCGGCAGCAGATATTATTGCAGGGAACTTGAACGACACGAATCAGCACAAAAATCATAACTTTCTTCCACATCTTTGTTCCACGTTTTTAGTGCATACTGCAGTTCTGGGCCTGTAAATCCAGTGTGTACAAATGTGGAATTCTAAGCAGAAAGAGAACTGGATGAAAGGGGTTGTATGTGAAAATGTGCATAGAGTGTAAATGTTAGCCTCTGCGGTTGCTTTCTCTTAACAGAGTTCTGTTAAGCTAAGCTGAGGGACTGATACCTTGTCACTTGCATGGTGTTACTGCTTAAGGGTTACAATCTAAAGGTGTGGTTGTCTGTTCCCACTCGTTAGCGTTGCCTCTTCCCGTGTCTGATCAGCCTGAGTGGAGCCTGCAGCAGTTTCTCCGTGGCTGTGAGTGGCTCCCTGCAGTTGGGGCACACGTGGATTACTCATTCAGGACTGGAAATGAGATGTGGCTCCGTGGCGCAGGTGTTGCTGTTACACCGTGTCAGATGCATTACTGAACTGCTCAGGGAGGTCAAGTAACTTGGCAGTGGTCACGAGGTGAGTCAGCTTTAGGTTCAGAATGATCCATCCTAATATCCCTTTTTATTTAACAAGGTGTTTAGGGTTTTTGTGTCACTTTGACCATGTAGTCTGTCTGTCCAGTGCTCAGGAATTGACTGAAGTAGCACAAGAGAGTACAGGCTTCAGTCTTATCACACCTTACGATGTTTGCTCTCTAAGACAACTTAAAAGCTGTTAGTACTCAATCTGACAACTTTTGAATCAGAACATGTGGTCACTTCTTAATTAAACTCCAGTGTTCAGAGACTCTTTCAAGCCAGCATTTTTGTTTCAATGTATGTGATTCATGGATTCGACATTATAGTGAGGCTTCTGTAGTGTCCTGCACAATTCTCTTCTGCTTTGATGCTTCAGAATTTCCTGGAAATGAGCAGGAAGAGCCAGACCTCGACTGGATAAGTGTTCCTCTTGCTACCTTTCTGCTCTAATGTCTTGTTCCGTGGTGCTTGATCATTAGCATTTCACGACGTATTTTGAGAAGGCAGATCCAACATGGGTAGAGGCCAGATGACTCACAGTAGCAGAGCTGGGAATAAGTAAGAGCCAGACTTTATAATACCAGTTGTCTGCATGATGAAGCAATTACCGTTTCAGTAATTTGTTTTTCATTGGGAATATTGCATTTCCATGGTAGCGATGTGAGGTCGGTGCTGTGTGCTCCGATGGTACTGTCAGAATTCCTGAGGCAAAAAGGGATGGTGTGATAGCCAGGTAAGGCTGAGACAATGTTGTTCTCTTGCACTGAGGCTTTCCCATCAGCTGGTAATTCTCCTGACTCCTCAGCTAGCTCCCCTGGTTCATGCTCTCTTGGAATGCCGTCTCTTGCCGGAAAGACAGTTCTAAATAATCAGGCAATTTAGGGAAAAATGTTCCTAAAAAGTAGCTCAGGGAAGCTGTCTGCTAATTTGTAATTTGTGGTTGGAAATACAATGGTTTGGAGGCTGTCTCACTAATTAAGCAAGTTGGATGAAGTGCTGGTAGTCTGGAGCCTCACTGTGTTTGATTAGAGGTCTTTTGTGGGAAAGAATGGGCTCGTGGGTAGCAGTGCCCATGAGCCCATTGCTGATAAATACAACTTGAGTTGTCAAGGGCTGTGGTTCCTCCAGGGCTGGTAACACCTATTGATGAGCACTGTGCAGAATCTGTGAGGAATCATAAAAAAACCCCACATTTCTTTGGGTATTTTCTTTCTATTTTTTAAAAAGCCTTTAAGGCAAAATTTCATTTTTTGTGTCTCCACTCACTGTTATTAGTAAGTCATCTTAAAAGGCAATTCATGGGCTTTTGATGTGCTCACTGTAAGAAATTGCTGAATACCATAAAACTAAGCTAGGGAAATCCACTGAATATCTTGCCAGAGTTAACTTCATAAGCCCTCAATAATTAGCTATAGACCTCACCTCAATTTCCCTTGTTTGTTTTACAGGAGGAAAATGTTTTTTTTCTATTTTTTGACATCTCTAGTGGATTTCACTGTTTGTTTGTATGGAACTTGCCACCCTGCAGCAACAGTAGGACTATGCTGAATGAATGGAATGGGGTTGAATTAATACTCCAGACTTGATGCTCTTTTTTCCTTCTATCTATCCCTTTTACTGGAAAAGCTGTTTACATAGTTTATGTCTGCTGTTGCTAAGGATTAGTTTTATGCTGAAGAAAGTTCTACCAGCTGAGCCACTTTCCCCTAAACAGGAATAATAATGCAACAAATAATTTTGGGGTAAATGGTGCTTTATTTATGGATAAGTAAGTCATGGGGGTTTTAGGTGGGGGGAAGGGAGAGGAGGTGGTTGTGTGTGGTGTTCTTTTTTCTCCTGTCAGTACTTGCAGGGCAGTGCTGAAAACTACCTTTTAATTTTTTTGGTATCCTGTTACATACTGTTATTCAATTTCTGTAGTCAAATATATGCAAAGTTCTCCTGTGTGTTGTGGGAAAGAAATGTCTGTTTCCTGATCTGTCTGTTGCCCTCTTGAAGGCCAGCTCAGATTTCTCCTCCTCTGCCAGCTGGGAGCAAAGAACTGTAGGAAGTGTCTGATAGTAAAACCCATGTTAGAGGCATTTTTCATAACACACATGTATCTGTTGTTTTGGAACACCCAAAGCAGCTTCTGTTCGTCTGTAGAACCAACCCGTGTTTGCTTCACACTGAGACCTGTGTCACAAGTGCTTTCTTCTTTGAGGAGCCCTTTGGGCACATAAGGACTGTGCTATCAATTATTAGCAATCGGGAGGGGGTGGGGAAATCAATCAGCACCTCTTGTTACTGGCCAAAAAACAGGTCAAGGGGTTTGGTGTCAAGAAAAGCCCAACAGCAGTTGGTATCTTCCTGTCGAATTTCATCCTTTGAATGCCTCGTGGCTTTGCCTCTAGTGTATTGATACTGTTTATTTTTCAGTGGTATACCTGCTGGGGATTCATGTTGCAATATTTAGATTATACTGCTAGCTTAATAATTAAATAAGTTATTAATATTAGTGGATTCATGGATGAGAAAATTACTTGGGGTCAGGGTTTGTCAGGCTTGCAGCTCTTGTCTGTAGAATTTGGGCACATCACCTGATCTTCAGTTGGCCAGACCATAAAATGGGTATGTTCCTGCCCTGTGCCAGGAAGATACTGCTTTAAGGCAAAGACATTCATTGGTGTTGAATTAAAGTACTTGAAGCTTTAAAATTCCTGAGGGTTGGTTTTGTTTATTTCCCGTGGCAAAGACGTGTAAAAAGGTCTGATCATAAAATATTTATAAACTGTAGAGTTACTTAGTATCTCATAACTCATCTTTGTTTAAATGGCTGGTGTAAATCCACAGCAAGTGGATTTTGAGCTCTTGAATGGCTGTGAGAGGTGGGGAAATGCCAGAGAGTGACTGGGAAGTGCCCAGGAGACAGACCTGGAGGCAGTAGTGTTGGTTGGGTGGGCACCACGGATCCTGGAAAGGAACTTTACACAGAACTTGACAAAACAAGACAAACTTATCTCCTGAGAGCATCTCTTGTCCTGATGTCAAGGGTTGTGCAATTCTGGAGCCGTGTTTGGCAAGACCTGGTGAATCCCCGGGGCTCTGCCTTGCTCCAGGCCCCTGGCTGCTGCCTGCTGTGTAAGATGTCTTGCTTGCCCCTCTGGATCCTGGCTCTGCTTTCAGCCCAGGTGCACAGCTTTCCTCTGGGAGGTGGAGTTACAGGAGTTGGAGGGTGCTCACAGCCCCAGGGCGGGAGGCAGGTCTGTCTCTTTTCAGTGGCAGTGGCCTGTGGGATGGATTAAAGGCTCCCTGCAGCCCCTGTCCCGTGGCACTCATTGCTGCCTTGAGATTTCCAAACAGCACAAAAAGTGAGAGATATTTGTGCCTGCCCATGATGGACTGGCCTCGATTTTTGTGGGAGACAGCACAAGCCCTTCTAGAATGAATCCCAGGGAAGTGGAGGAGTGAAGATGGTGAAGTGGTGGAGTCACCATCCCTGGAAGTGTTCAGAAAATGTGTGGGTCTGGCACTGCAGGACATGGTTTAGTGGTGAATAGGGTGGTGGTTTTCTGTTGAAGGTTGAACTGGATGATTTTAGAGGTATTTTCCAATCCTTATGATCCTGGGAATACTGCACTGCTGAGATGGATTTACTGCTTTGAAGTTCCATTGCAGTTGTCCTGGCCTGCCAATTGGAGCTGTTAGTGAATAACACAATGTTGATTATTTCCAGCATATCTCAGATAAACGTTCTTAAGCTGTGCTCTGAAAATTAGGCTTAATTTGTTGCCGTTTTGCTCTGGCAGTTTGAGATGCAGCTTTTCTGTGAGCATTTTCTGTGAGATTCTGTGAGCATTCTTGACCAAGGCAGAACAACAGACCAACGTTTCTTGAGAAGAAGAGGTCTGTTTGTACAGAATGAGGAAGCACAGAATGCATTTCCTTCGAGTAACGGGAATGGAGAGGTAAAGTGGAAAGATTTGTTGAACTCAGTATCTTAGATAAAGGTGTGCTCCATCTGTGTGATCATCCTCAGTAGGGTGATCTTCTGCAAGCTAATACATCGCAGAGAGAAAAAGAAACAAAGCATGGCTGTCCTAGCATTGATTTCTGCCACTAGTTTTGTTGATAGAAAAAAATTAAAAGTGAGCCACAGGTAGTAGTAAAGATATGCCCCCCTCTAATTCTTGGAGTAGAGAGCTTTGCAGACTTTGAATTGCTGTGCCCTTGAGAAAAATGGGTTTGCTTTGCTAAAGAAGTGAGATTTTTAGAAGGTTGACTGCTTTTATCTGTGTGCAAGGACTGTTTTATTTTTTTGTTGTGGGATTCCAGAGCAGCTGGTGAATGTTTTGGGAAGCCTGTGTGCAGACTTGTGAAACTAAACCATAGCTGGTAGTTACCTTTCCTCTGAAAGAGACAGAATATATGCATTAAGTGTTACAATGCAAAAACCTATATTTAAATGTGAAGTCTTGCTTCTTATTTAGGATGAAAAGTGTTTCTTTTCAAGATTACAAAGGATGCTCCGCAAAGCTTTATATTAACACACAAATTTGTAATTTGTATTCAGTCTTGGATAATTTGTATATGCAGCCTGTTGATCACTCAGTAGGTGCAGCCTATTTTTAACCTTTGTTTATTTATGCAAAACCAGTAGAAACAGAGCATTAGTTTAATCCTTTCTTCTTTTGTTTTCCACTGCAATTCTCTTACCATGTCGGTTCCGAAGGGTCCTATTATTTGGGATTGCTACCAGGCCTGATTTATGAATCATCTGATAAAGAGCCAGCTCCACTCCCAGAAATGTGCCTTAGGTAGAATTGTATGCCAGTGAGTCAGCTTTAGGGCAGCATTTTCAAAGGAACGCTATATAAATTACACAGTATCCCTGTGGGGGTGGCTCAGTGTTATGAAAAATCTGCTGTGGAGCATCGTGCACACACATCCCCACAGAGCTGAGTCAACTGTCTTGAGCTAAATTGAGTGAGTGCTGGTCTCACTCCTCTTGTTTTAAGT